GGGCGGGGGCAGGGGCAGTGGCAGGGAGCCAGTTGGCGGTGGCGAGGGTGAGGCAGAGGAGAGATAGGCCTGCCTGCCCTCACTCCCCTGGCCTCCTATGGTTCAGGACTCCTGCCCCAAGGTCTTCCCTCTGTCCACCCCTCCCCAAAGGCTGCCAAAACAATGTTCCCTTTAGGGGAAGGGGAAGGAAGACAGAGACTGCCCAGAATGGGGGAGTTAACCTCCTCGGGGTGAGGGTAGGATACTTGCCGTGGACACTGAGACAGGGGTCAGCAAAGATAGGGGTCAGGGCACCTAACAGTTTAGACTCCAGGAAGGGGAGGGAGTAGGAGGAGAGGAAGGAGGGGTCAGGGAGGCTGTGACAGAACTGGGAAAGGTGGGGTCTGAGTGCAGTGAAAGGTAAGCTAACAAGCAGCCCTTCCACTCTGACCATGGGTGAGGAGCGGGGGTAGGAGACTCCCACCCAGTCCAATAATTCCCAGTGTTTGTATGCCCTGGGCCCCCTGCCCAGAGACTGGAACGTGCACAGTGTTAAGAAAGAAGACTCATAGAAACAGGAGTGTGACATTTCCCATTGTCTCCTGTGCCCACTGTTGTGGGGTGGGAGGAGGGCAAGGATCAGGCTTAACACCCACCACCCACACTTGCAGAGAAGGACCTGAGGACTGTCTTCCACAAGCCAAATGGGCATTTAAGGCAAACAAAAGGGGGAGCGCTGGCTGAACCTCAGGAATCCTGCAGTGGCACCTGGGGGAGGGTGGGGTCCCTACAAAAGGCCTAAATTCTCTAATCCAGAAGGATGGGGGCTCCATGGGCACTCACCCCCCAATCAGAGGAATAAGAAACACCCTGAGGAGAGCCTAGGGCGTGAAGTCAGAAACCCTGGTGGGGACGCTGGGAAAGGGTCAAGTGCAGAGGGGCTGCTGGCTACTTTTGTTCTGGGCGGAAAGAAAAGGATTTAGGTGGCATTGTGAGTAGATAGCAGTGATTTCATTTAGCTCCTGGGATTCAGGGTCTCGCATTCGCAAAAAAGAGTCTGAATCTCATTATTGCAAATTGTGCCATCTTTGGAAAATCAGATCAATCCTCCCGCAAGGAATATAGACACACACAAACACACACAACACACCCCTACGCGTTAAAGAAAGCCGTCCTCCCCAGCCCCCAAAAACTCACCCTGCGGGGTCCAGGTAAAAGGCGGGGGCGGGGCGCACTGCGGCCCTCGACTTTGAAGGGTTAATTCCGGCGGCCGCGGAGAATGCCGGGAGTTGTAGTCCTGGCACTCCCGCGGGCTGATGGGAAACTGCGCTCTCTGGGCGAAGCCGACACTGGGGCGGTGCCTTCCGGCCGCCGGTGGCGGTTGGTGACTCAGACTTTCCTTCCCGCTCTTTGTCCTGGAACTAAAGACAGTGGAGAATTTACAGTCTTTCTTCTAAAACGGTGCGGGGCTCAAGACAGCCTTCTCACTTAGCCCTTGCGTGTTCAGGTCGCGCTTAGATCCCGAGAGGAGAATGGAGGAGAAGGGATTGCGGCATGGCCGTCCCCCCTGGAGGTTTCTGTCTCTCTGTCTCTCTCTCTCTCTTTCTGGCGAGCACACGTGACTCTTGCAAAAACCTCTCCAAAAAAAAAAAGTTGTCACTTGTTAGTCTGGCAGTGAAGGAAGAAGTAAGCAATTTTTTAAAAAAAGAAATGTTTATTAAACTTTATTATTGTTATCAATCTGACCAGAGAGAGACACGGAGAGAGAAGTGAGAAAGTAAGCCACTAGGTCCAGGACTCGGCATTGTGATTGGCCACGTGGGAGTCCAGCCCCTCAACCTCCATGCCACCTGCTGGCGTCAAAATTATTTTTTAAGGTTTTGTTTTTTGGTTTGCCATAGGATATTTGTGCTCCAGGTAGAGAGACAGAGAAAGTGAGAAATCACCTGAGAGGGGGGGTGGTCAGGCTGCAGTCCCTACTGCTCCATTCTGGTCTCAGAATTTTGAGCGTGCACACTCAGGGGCCTGAGCCTCAAGCCACAGGATATGGGACACAGACTCAAATCGTTGTCACCCGTGGGGGGAGTCCAGTGACAACCATTAAGCTATCTGCTGGTTCCACAATATTCAAGGCCCTGGTTGGGGACTCAGGGGCTCAGTGGCACATATGGGATCCAGGAGGTATGACCCAGTCACCTTAAGCATCACCACTGGCTGGCCCAAGATTTTCATTGTAGAAAATTTGGTTTTCAGGGGCAGCAGATGGTGTGGTGGTTAAGGGTGCTGGGTTTCCACATGGCCGACCACAGACTGAGATGGCTTGCTTTTCCACTTTCTCTGTCCCTCTCTGGTCAAATTGAAATAAAAATTAATAAATGAAATTAAGTAAAATAATTCTTTTTTTAAAAAATGAAAAAAAAAAATTGGGGTTGGAGAGAATATAGGAAAACACAGTTTCATGTAACGCTGATGAGAAGTAGACCATGAATATAATCTTAGAATACAATTTGGAAGAATGTATTAAAAGTCATTAAAACACTGAAGTTGAGGGCCAGCCTGTGACATGGCTGTTGAAGCACATGACGGGCTGAGCTGTTGGGATTCCCAGACCAGGCTGCTTAGAAAATACACCAGACATACGTGCTTGTCTAAAATCTTGAGAGAATAGAGAAGGGATTACAGGTTGGAGGAATTTCTCACGTTCCCTCTCTGTCTCTCTCTCTAGCTAGCCCATGTATGCTATGGCAAAAAAACGCCACTGATGGGCCAGCAGATGGCATGGAAAGGCAGCTGAATCCCATATGGTTAACTTTGGGGTTGGAGACCTTGATCCTGTAGCTTTAAAATCATGCTGTGTGTGGGGGAGGGGTCCAGATTTAAAATCATCCAGTTAGCACATGGGGTGTATGTGGGGGGTTGTGTTATCAGGCGGCTTGGTGGTTCAGGTGCTGGATTCCCACATGGCTGAGCACAGCCATTATTCGCTTTCCCTCTGACTGTCTCTGTTTTTCTCCTCCCCAGGAAGCCTGTACATGCCCTATGACAAAATTCTTTATTAAAAAAAAAAAAAAGGGACCAGCAGGTGGCATGGTGGTTAAGGTGCTGGACTCCCACATGGCTGTCTTTGGTTTCAGTCACAGACCTGGCAGCTTGAAAAATTATGCTGATGAGGCCAGGCCCATCCTGAGATGGAAACTGAACCTCAGCTCTGAAATACTGATTTTATTGACCAAAAATGGAGATTTTCTGCTGAGATTTCTTTCTCCAGATTCATTTCTAGTGGCCTCTATGCACTAAGTGTCTAGACAAGTCCAACTGGACAGCTTCCAAACATCTGAATATGATTAGGTTCAGAATATTCCTCTATTCCCACTGAATCTGATGCACAGAGTGAAAATGGAACAGAAGAGAGATTGCAGATCACCTCCTCTGCATGGCTCTGAACGCTCAGATTGAACTTAAAGGAAGAAACGCACCATCCATCAGATGACTAGAAATCACCACAGGGTTACAAGAAATATGGGAAAGCGAGAAAATTCCTCTCCTCCTAGGGAAAATAAGCCCTCTTCATCTTCAGACAGTACAATTTTAAGTATAGTTCCTTAGCATTTCTTTGATTTGTTGAAGCTAAAACTGCTTTTCTTGAAATTAAAAAATATATTTAAAAATGGGACCAGCAGTTAGCATAATGGCTAGGTCGCTGAACTCCCATGTAGTCGACCGCAGGTCAAGTCCCAGACCCAATGGCTTAAACTCACACCAAGCACATCTGCGTGTGTGCCCAAGATCCCAAGAGGAGAATGTAAGAGAAGGGATTGCCGTGTGGCCATCCGCCTGGGGGATGACTTCTTGCTTTCTGTCTCTCTGGCGAGTACATGTGCCCTATAGCAAAAACCTCTCAAAATATATATATATATAATATATTTTAAAATACCTATTTAATGACCATAATAGGCTATATAGCATCAACCAGGTGCTACCTTATAGTATATTAATTATACTCAGAGTTTCACCCCTAAAGTCAGACAGGTATTCACAGATATGTATATACTAGCTGAACTTGCTATTGAAAATAGATGATTTAAGAAATGTTGTGAATCAATAAAATGTGGCAAAGAATGGAATGGAAAACTGCTGTAGACACCTGAGATGGTGTGGGAGGAGGGTGCAAAATGGCAGAGGGTAAGAAATAAGGGTAAGTGGCCAGCAGGTGGCATGGTGGTCAAGGTGCTGGACACTCCATATGGCTGAACATGGTTCGAGTCCCGGACCTGGGGGCTTGCTTTCTCATTTTCCCTCTTTCTCTCTCTCTCTCTCTCAAATTAAAAAATAAATGAATGAATAAATAAATTTTAAAAATAAATAAAACGAATTCCTTTAAAAAGAAATAAGGGTAAAAAAATTTAAGAAATGTTGTGAATCAATAAAATGTGGCAAAGAATGGAATGGAAAACTGCTGTAGACACCTGAGATGGTGTGGGAGGAGGGTGCAAAATGGCAGAGGGTAAGAAATAAGGGTAAGTGGCCAGCAGGTGGCATGGTGGTCAAGGTGCTGGACACTCCATATGGCTGAACATGGTTCGAGTCCCGGACCTGGGGGCTTGCTTTCTCATTTTCCCTCTTTCTCTCTCTCTCTCTCTCAAATTAAAAAATAAATGAATGAATAAATAAATTTTAAAAATAAATAAAACGAATTCCTTTAAAAAGAAGTAAGGGTAAAAAAATATATATATACATATAAAACTAGAAATGGAAAATTATTGATGATAACATGTATGATTAAGCCACTATACAGTATTTTTTTAAAGAGTTTTTTGCTTTAGGGCACGTGAGCTCACCAGAAAGACAGAGACAGAGAGACAGAAAGCGAGAAATCACCCCCCAAGGAGGATGGCCATGCCACAATCCTTTCT